AATAGAAACACATACAGCCTATGGTTTGAGTATAATGAAGAATCACTTCCATCAGCAACAAACAAAAGATTCATGTCTGCTGTTTTGATGTGTGCTGTACATTACAAGCTTCTCCCTGCAATGCCTGACAATAAACCATCATCTCTACAGACCCCTTTATTCCCTCTTTCTGCTTTAAATCGAGACAGTAGATATCCTGTCATTCTCTCTCAGTCTATCCCTGCAGTAAGATTGCAGGCTGCCCCACTTTTTAGGTTGCAAAAACACAAAGATGCACACACATTCTTGCACAATCACCGGTGGGACTGGATGGCTGGCCTGGTGCCCTGAGAACTGGAGCTTATACTGTGCGTCTGCCAATCTGAGCCCAACAAGCTGTTTTAGGGGGAGGCATGTGCATTTAATTTCATTCTCACAGACCATCAATGTCCTGCAAAAAGGCCAATATAAACCTCAGTCACTAAAGAGCCTTCTGAAAAAAGCCTTTGTCACATTGCTCTTGTTAAAAGATCAAGAGGAGAGGAACTATTTCCAGATTCTCAAAGCAAGAATTCAAAATGAAAAATTGTATTGTTTTTGATACAGATGAGTGATTTGTGTTCATTTTCCTCTATATCTTCCTTTTGACTGAAGTAAAAAAAAAAAAAACTGATGCAGTTTAACTTTGGACATCAGAAATGAGATAATATTTCATTGGGACTGTGCCAGAGAGATAAAGAGCTCAGCGAGACCTCAGGAGCTGATTAAAGCTGATACAGCTCCAGGACTGATAGCTTCCCTCCAGCTTCTGTGTCGTTAGCCGCTCCTCTCAATGCCATGTGTGTGTGTGTGCACCATATCCAGAGAGTCAAAATTATGCAATTATGGATACTTAAATTTGCACCAAATTGCTGCTTTTGAGCAGGTTCATGTTGTTGTTGTTTTTAACTAACTAAATACTTTATTTAAACAGATCTTTGTTGTCTTGAAAAATGTTTCATAAAAATGCGTTTTATGTATGGATTTAGTTTTATTCTTGTCTTTCAATCACTTTCAATCGTTAAATAGAAAATCCAAATATTACATATCGTCGCTGTCGAGAGGAAACCTCGTATCTCCATATTTTTTTCCATACATCATTACTATTGGTTACCCTTTACGTCTATCTGTGGGTTGTGCAAAAATTTAACCAATGAAAAGTATTAAAAAGAGCTTATGACTAAACCTTGCATCTCCATTGGATCCTTAATCTGCCGGGAAAATCTGATAAATCCACCCCGCCTCTATCGTGAATGATGTGACGCACGCAGTTTGGACCATCTCTGCTTGTGTGCAGTGCAAAGGTAAATAAAGAACTGGTTCTTTGAATAGGCCTAAGTAGCCAACAGGTTTTTTTTTTTTTTTTTTACTCAAGAAACACTATGTTTTATGTATTTAAGGAGTGGATTTTTTTTTTTAATGTCTTAGTGTAACATTTGTCGTCGAGTCATTGCCAATACTGCCTTATAGCAGTATTGGCAATAGCCTGTGAGTAGCACTTTATCTTTAATAACATGATATTTTCTCCAAATGACAGAAAAGACGGAGCGCCCACATAGCCACAGTAATCTTTATAACCCATAAGTTGATAAAAATGTAACACAATGCACATACTACCTCAGATGCGGCCGTTCCAATGGTGGAGGAACACATAGCCTAAATTCTGTACAAAATTATGAACTAAATTCTCAGAAATTCGCTTGTCAAATACCTTGTAACTCCATTTGAGCTTGGTTTTGGTAAAATATTAATAATATAATGACTCGTGCAAGTGTCTGACCATATGTGTTGAATCACACCAGTGTTGAATCATTTTAAAAATACAGTGATTTTTCCATTTCCTGAAAAGTAGCGTTTTTGGAGATACAAGGTTTCCGATATTTAAAATCATCTAAATTTAGAGTGAATTAACATAAAACATTTCAATATTTATTGTGTGAAAATGATGTACTGTGAGAGATTTTTGCACAAATTATGACTGTCAGTCAGGCAGGGCTATTATCATTAACTAAATCCATAAAAAAATTGTAATTACTTGTTATAAAATAAACATTAACTGAAATAAAATAAAATATAAAACACTTACAATTTATTTCAGCTAGTTGCAAGGCAACATTTATCATTTTTGTTTAGTTTAAGTTAAGACTAAAACTTAATAAATCAATGTTAAAATGCAAAAATAAAATCTAATTATAAATATTAACAAAAACTATAATAGTAAATAAATGATGCTAAAATAACGCTGCCCTCAGACGTTGCGTCATTTCCATCAGAATCAACAATTTTGCTAATTTAGTTTTATCAAAAGTTGATACTTAGTTTACAAAACTAACAACAGTGTCAATGAAGCACCATATGAACATGGTTAATATCATTCAGAATAATATTTGTATTGTGTATTGTTTCCAATAAAGCTGTAATTTTGCTAAAGTTGTGAACATTTTATTTAACTGTGTATTTAGCATACACAAAATGCTAAGTATTAAATGACCATTAGCAAGACAAGGGTGACGTTATTTTAAAAATGTAAAAAAATATAAAATAAAAACATTTATACCACTGTCATTTAAATCACAGAATGTTATTAAACATAATTGAAACACATAGGAAATAAGAGTGGTGGAAATGACCATGACTTGTGCTTCAATACATTTAGTTTTCTTTGTTTCCAAAGTTCAAAAGTAACTGTTTCCTCTGTTCCTTTGTTCCCACCAGTTATTAGTTGCCATGGACACTCATTTAAGGATCACACCTGTTAGTCTTTGAGTTGATCATCATTGTGTATTTAAGTTCCTTATTTCCTTCAGTTCGTTGTCTGGTATTGTCGTATGTTACACGCTGTTATACGTTGCCTGCTTTCTTGTGGATTACCTGAGTTTGTTTTACTTTAATACTTTTGTTTTTTAGCCTTTTTGTATCTTGATCATCTTAGACCCAAAACGTTACAAGGACAAAAGTGCCCATAGCTGAAGAAACACCCAATTATAAATTATCATCGCTGTGTTAAACTATTTACATTTTCAATTTCATGTCAGCTCAACAATCAAGTTTGTTTTTTTTTCCTCTTTTTTTTAAAAGTAAATCTCAAATGCCAGCAAAATATTTCGTTTTCTCTCACAGGCATCTTTAGTCACTTTATACACCCAACACATTACACATGTGATGTAGCTCAGCCTGCTGTGGCACCTCAGTCTGCTTTATGGAGACAACTGCTTCGATCATCAGGAAGAAATTAGCGGAGCACTAAGCAACTCAATCTTATTGGCTGCCGGGCCCGTCCGCTCCATTTGAGGTCAGCCCAGACATTCCAATGGATAATCTTTTCCATCCCTCCACTCTCTTGTCTTTCTCTCTCTCTCACACTCAGTCTGTTTTCCTCAAAGAGCAACTTCAGCACAAGGCTGGCTTTGTGTAGCCTCTTCTTTCTTACTCAGTCAGTGTGTTTTAAGTGAACCGTGTGGAGCTGAAATACATATCTGCCGTCGTTCCAAGCTTTCCCTGCACCTTCCAGTAAGTTATTTTCTATAGCAAGCTAGTAATATGAAGCCTCTGAATTAGGCCCATCACCACATCACAAAGCTTCTGGAGAGTAGCTGAGCTATGTTTGCTTCTGGAGCTTCGCCCACTTTTCCCAGCATCCCATTCTTTGTTCTGCTCTCTCTCTCTGAACTTGCAACAAAAGGCTGTAATTATGGTGGGCACAAACCAGAGAGAAAGAGCGATATTATAGCATTCTCTCACACTTCAAATATGCCTGCTCGCTAGAAGTTACAGGAACCCGTTTTGATTTATGCCAGCTGTGGAAATGACAGCTGCTGTGAACTTCTGGAATGGTCGTTTTGATGCAACCCACATATCTCATGCATTCTGAATCACAATATTTACACAAGTCCTCATGTTAAACGCCTGAGATACACATCCTCGCCAAAACATACTGTTGAGTGATCGCGCTAAAGACTAGCTTTAATGTGCTACAAAACTAACTGTTAACACTTTATAATAAATTTCCATTTGTTGATATTAGTTAACTACATCAGATGACATGAACAATATATGCATCTAAGCATTATTAATCTTAGCTGAGGTTCTACATTTACTAATACATTATTAAAATCAAAAGTTGCATCTTTTATTTAATTTATTTAATTTTATTTTATGATTATAATAACATTTACTAATAAATTAATATCTGAGATTATTTAATGGACCTGAGCTAACATGACCAAACAATAAACAGTGGTAACAATTTATTTTACTGTGTCCTTGTTACACGTTAAATGTACTTATATAGTAATAACAGTAAATTATGCATAATTACAAGCAACTAACTCTAAACCAAAACTCTATTGTTAATTACATATTGTTAATTAATATTACTCAGTACTTAATTGCATACCTGAACTGTAGCGGCCTAACATTAACTAACATTAACAAATATTGATAAATACTGTAACAAATGTAGGCTAATGCTCATTGTTAGTTAATCAATTAACTTGAAAAATATATTCTCTGGAAGTGATAATTGACTTTAAATAAGCAACAAGCCTGGGGGAAAACAAACTTGCTGTATACTAGCTGAAAACCATCTGAGAACAAAGAGATCTACAACATGTGAATACTGGGAATAAGACCGGTGAAACATGTCCATTACTGTAGGGGCCAGGGGAGACACTCACTGTATGGGCTTTGTTGTAACATGTTTGAAGCAGAAACTATTTCTCATGAGTGAAACTGTATCTTGAGTTCTGCTCGGGAATGACAGGACAAGACATCCTACACTTGGAATAAAGACTGATTTTGCCCTACAGCGTTGAATCGCTGACGATATGCATGGATGATCCAGCACTGTAGGGCAAGATCAGTTCAACGCAACTGTGCAAACACAAACCAGATGGCTTTCAGAATTAAAATTCTGATCTGATGTGTTTATGTGGCAAGTGCAGGTGCTCTGATGTGTATGTGCATGTGAATGTGTTTTATACCTGTGGATATCCTGCGCTGTTGTAGCGGGTACGCCCCCATGAAGCCAGAGCAGCCATTGGGCGAACTGCCAGCGTCGCCCGACCAGCTCCGCGCTACTGTGCAGGGGTTTTTCAGGAGCCCTGTGTGTGTGACACAAGAGAAGTGGGTGAAAGTCACTCGCTTGCTATTTAATCAGGTGAGGGTTTCAGACCAATATGTGAAAATAAACATTACACTTTACTCAAATATGTTATGGATGGATCTCACAGTCTTCAATGAACTATATATAAGCTTATATGACAGTATAGGGGGAAATAATTGCTCAAATGTTGCTCTCTGGAAACGTAATGAGAGTTTATGTAGACATCAGTCATAGTCTCAATATGTCTCCTATAAAAGTCTTTAAGATAAATAAATGTAGAAACCAATAAAACAATATTTGACATTCAATAAAAGTACACACAATGGATGTTGATAGCATAACTCAGATGATTTGGTTTTGGAAGAAACTGATGAGAAAGCTTGAGCTCACATTGATTTTTATTTGCAAATCTGAACATAGTTTGAGACATTATTGAGATCTCTTATGAAGCATGTGAGATAATGTCACGTGTGGGTGTAATATGGCAAATGAAGGAGTAAAGAAACAAAAACAGTCTTTGATAAAAAATCCAAAAAGGGAACATGCAGGAGATAGCAGGATGTCACATTTTGCCATTGTTTTGGTTTCGTTTTCATATTGGACTTTCTCCCGTCTCCTGTGTTCCTTTGTTCCGGCCAGTCATTAATTTCCATGGACACCCATTTAACAATCACACCTGATAGTCTTTGAGTTAATCATCATTGTGTATTTAAGTTTCTAATTTCCTTCAGTTCGTTGTCTGGTATTGTTTCATGTTAAACACTGTTACGTTGCCTTCTGTCCTGTGGATTACCTGCATTTGTATTAATTAATATTTTTGTTTTTGAAGCTTTTTACATCTTGATCATCTTAGTCAGACCTAAAACATTACAGAACACCAGACCAAAGAAAAATGGATGGAGTATGTAGCAGAACTCATCGCACTAGCCTGTAAAGGGCTCTCGATATTGGATTATTCTGCTCGCTTCTGCCAGCTCGCCCAACACTATCATTTTGATGACGAGATGCTGAAATCGCTCAACTGGATTGGAGTGAACTATTACAGCCCTCTTAATTTACCTGATTTGGGAAGTGGAACATGAAGAGAAGCCATCCTCAGGTGTCTGCAGGGCACGTATCTCCAGCTAATGCCATCACTCATGGCCACTGCTGACACAAAGCCCACTGCCACCGTGGAGATTCACTGGCTTCACTGGACTCCCTTGTCCCTCCGGCTCCACTTTGGTTAGACCTCATCCTGCCAGCACCACAGACTTCCGGGACACCAGCTGCGCTTTACCCCTCCACCCCTTCGGCTCCGTCTTGCTCTGCCTTCCCTTTTGCTCCGCCTTGGTCCTTGTTCGCATCGGCTCCGCCTCAGTCCACCAGCACCCAGCCTCCACCTCGGCTGCTCGTCACTGCGTTTCTGCCCTGGCCTCCTGAAACTACAGGGTTGTCTGGTCTCCCCATCTCCTCAGCTGCGCCTAGGTCTCCAGGTCTCCGAGCCACAACGTTGGCTGTCAGACCGCTAACTCCACCTTGACACATCCCACCGTTGGTTCCGCCATGGGGATCTTCAGTCTCGTCTGCTCTGCTGTGGTGGTCTTCTGTTCCTCCATGGGAGTTGTCAGTCCTGCTGTGGTGTTCTTCTGCTCATGTGCCTGATGAAGACCTAAAGGTCGAAACGTTGCGTGGAATGTGCACACCTTCTTTGTATTTTTGGGTCTTCTGCTCCACAATGGAGGTTTTCTGTTCTTCCACTCTCATGAACTCTATTGGAATATTTATCATTTATAGCGTCAGGAGTCACCTTCCAGAAGGGGGAGTTCTGTCACGTTTTGCCTTTCTTTTGGTTTTGTTTCTATATTGGACTTTCAGTTACCTGTTTCCTGCGTTCGTTTGTTCCCACCAGTCATTGGTTGCCATGGACACTCATTTAAGTATCACACCTGTTAGTCTTTGAGGTAAGCATCATTTTGTATTTAAGATCCATATTTCCTTCAGTTTGTTGTCTGGTATTGTCGTATGTTACACACTGTTACGTTGCCTTTTTGCATCTTAATCATATTATTTAGACCTTACACAGGAGAATAACGTAACCATATTAACATTGACGTTGATATTAACAATACTGGACAAAGAAACTGAGGAAACTAAGGGCATATAAAACAGGGAGATAATGAGTAGAACAGAAACAGGTGAGTGAGAACTAATTAACAGCCAGGGAAACTACACTGAACAAAATTATAAACGCAACACTTTTGTTTTTGCCCCCATTTTTCATGATCTGAACTCAATTATCGAAGACTTTTTCTATGTGCACAAAAGGCCTATTTCTCTCAAATATTGTAAACAAATCTGTCTAAATCTGTTTTAGTGAGCACTTCTCCTTTGCCAAGATAATCCATCCACCTGTGCCTTAGGCTGGACACAATAAAAGGCCACTCTAATATGTGCAGTTCTCTTATGAGAGGTTCTCTCGTATTGCGTAAGCTAGCTTACGCTACGGGAAAGATTAATCTTTTCTGAATTATTGAAGCCAAAAAATTATCCTTAATTTTGTATCCATTGTCAACGCAGTGCAGCAGCTTCAGACCTTGAGCGGGCTATCTAGCGAGCTCATTGGTCGCTCTGCGGGAACTGCTGCAGCCTATGGACGGACAGAATGAACTCGCGTCCAATGAGAGGCGCTCGCGCCTTCATCACGTCACAGCCCGCCAAGCTGGGCGTGGCTAGAGTGTATATTAGAGCGGTCCAAAGGCTGCCTCCCTGATTTTCATCTCTTCAGCGATCACGCTGAAACCTGAGAAGCCGAAGTCCTCCTAGCTGCGCTGAGAAAACGACGGCTCAGTCCCGCCGCGGCCGGACCGCCGTCAAAGCTTCGCCCCCTGTCAGTCCCCTTATCTCAGGCTACTGCAGTGGTGTATACAGCAACCAACAAGCCGGTGACGCTACCCGCTTGCCTGCACCCAAACGCCGTTTTTACGGCGACCCAGAGAAATCTCTTACAGAGCAAACGTGCCTTATGTGTAGAAAATGTGCCCACAACCCAGTGTTTGCCCCTACACACAAGCATTACACTACCCGTGTCCCTGTCAGAGCCCACTCACATAAAGCTGGCACAGCCCGCTCGAGTGTTAGAGTCAATAAACGCGCCCACGAGCCCGTGCGCGCGCCCCCTCTCTGCCCGCTCTGTCACACGGCCGGCCATCACCTCTCTGTATACAAGTCCCGTGCCCGTGACTATGCTCGCGCATCTCTTAACAGATGTGACTCTTTCCCCATTCACCTCAATCGGGAAGTCACTCACAGAACAGCCTGTTCCTGCTGTTTGCGAGCCGTCATGCATAAGCACAGTAAGCGCGCTCACCAGGGGCGTAGCAGCCATTATAAAAGTGGGGGGGACAAAATGGTGTGGTGATGTGACCCAAAGGTCAGTCCTTCCAGAAAAATGCGGAGTTTTTTTGTGATTGTTGCGGGCAAAAATCCTTGATTATGCGGCGATGGAATATGCAGGATATTTGCAATTTTATGTGATGAAATTGCGGGAACTTACAAAAACTGCGGTTTGATGAAAAAGAGAGAAAAAGTGATTCCCCAACACCCTGTTCTCACTAGGCTACTACCTTAATGTAAAGAGCTATTTCTTATTACTTCCTATGATAAGCAAACATACTACATCACAGAAAGTGCTGGAATATTTAATCTTGTTTTATTTCAGACCTTAATAAACACATGGCTCAAACTTACAAAACATTGATGAGTCAAACAAGTTCTGTAGCTTTACAAAAGGAATATGCTACAACTTCAGTAAAAATGAATAAATAAAATATGAAAAACATGTTTCCTGTTTTACAGTTTTTTTTTTCAATGATGTTCATGTCGCGTAATTACGTCACTTCATAACGTTCCCATGGCAACAGGGGGAAACGGCTGCTCTCGTGTGAAGCAAACGCAACATTTTTCAACTTTCTGCTAAGATATATGTGACTTTTTTTTGCAACAAAAATGCGGGGATTATGAAATCATACAAGCCCCGCATATTCTGCGTGGAAATCGGCAATTTATACGGCAAAAGTGCGGCGTAGGCCTATTTGAAAAAATGCCCCCGCATAAATATGCGGACTTTGGCTGATTATTGAATCATGCGATCGCATAATCGCGTTTTTCTGGAGGGACTGAAAGTTGATGTTCATAATAATAAATTCTAGATGGAATAGCAATTGGCATTTTACAGCACCCTAGTGCCAAATTTGGGAACATGCCATGATAGTTTACAGCAACCTATTTTTGTGAAATCATACTCGAAATAAAAAAAATATTGCAGGACTTGGGACTTTCAGACAACTGTGGACATCTATACTTTATTTTTATGAAATAAAGATATTTTATGATATTTACAATATTTCAGTTAAACTACACTTGAACAATAGGCCTAACTTTTATCTTAACAGTTGGACCAAAAAAAGTGTTCAATGAGTATAACAGATAACATATAGCCTACAGTAATTTTATACAACAGACATTTTATAAAAAAATATATCAATAAAACCTAAATCAATGAATTCGGTATTGGACATCAATTTAACATTGACATTAGATGTTGAATTTACATTGAATTTTGGTCACCCGACGTCGCAACCAAAATTTAATCAAATATCAACGTCTTATGACGTGTGCCTGCTGGGAATAATCTGTTATGTCTCATTTAACAGACGCTTTTATCCAAAGCAACAGGTAGGAGAGCATTTAACACACACTCGGCACAATCCGGCGCGACGTGACGAGGTCCATACGGGTTCTGTTGTCTTACACTTCTTACAGCGTTACAGTAGGTTAAATCATAATAAGGAAACTTTACGTGTGATTCATGTCATCGCGACATACTGTAACAGTGTGTGTTTGAAAAAAAAATGATGTAGTCCTCTGCTTTTTTTCTGGGGTGCATTAGACGGCCAAACAGCAAAGCGACTAAACAAACACGAAAATTCGCAAGAGCAACAAAAGATTTGAAGCTCA